GCTGCAGGGGAGGTTCCTACAAGAAGGGATTGGGGATTACAAGGGCACAGAGGTGCATACTTAGAAGAAGGTGAGTTTGGGATTGGAAGGGAAAAGCCCACTGTGTTGATCATACAGTCAGCGCAATGACTGGCACGGGTGCAGAGGCTCCAGGACATGTGCTGCAGCTGAACATACTGGTATTTATTCAGCTTTTCAGCATTAGCAAACCACTCCTGTTCTCAAGTGAATTTTCCCTGCAAGGAAAACTGTTCCTCATGCAGGCACCTGGAGCCTTTAACTTTTAATTGCTCATTGATGAGCACAAAGCAGATAAGGGCAGCGGAGCAGCGGCAGTGCCAGGAGAGATAAACAGTTCCTGCAGTCCAGGAGTGGTTCACTTGTCCAGCTTTGCTCTCGTTAGTGCTGAGCAAATGCCTGTCCCGACACACAGTAAGCCAGAGGCATGACCCTGTTTGGTTGCAGGTGCTGGCTAAGGCCAGAAACTAGCAACATCCACAGAAATTCCCATCTTTTGCTCTTTCCCATGTGCATGTTTTAACTGCCCTTACAGGGAGCTGTAGCTGTAAGGGCAGTTAAAACATGCACATGGAAAACAGCCCGGAAACCTGCAGCTGCAGGAGGGAGCTGGGGCAGGAAATGTGGCAGGGGAGGATGCTCCCTGGGTTTTCTTCCACCTCTCCTTTTCCACCTGGCAGGGCTGGGTTATCGGTGTGTTCCCCACCAAACCCCTTGGCGGCAGAGGGATGAACGAGCCCCCTGTGCCGTGGCGCCATCAGCTCATGGCCAGCACACAGGCAGGGAGCCAGGCTCAGGGCTTGCTGCCAGGAGGACCTGAGCCATGCCCAGGTACCTCTGTTCCTGCCAAAGGAAACTCGAGCTCAGGGATGGGAACAAAGGAGGGGACGGTATCTGTGACCTCTAACTGAGGAGACACCCTGGGCACGTTAACCCTAATCCTGTCACGGCATGCGGGGACTGAGCTGCCGGGAAGCCCCAGTGCTCTCTTCTGTTTCTTGCTACAGCTGAGAGAGCAGACAAGCACCTCTGAAACACTGCCTTGTAAGAGAGCTCCTGGAAACAGCCCACTTCAGGTCCCATAACCCAAATCCCTGTGGCCTTCCAACCCCATGTTGTCCCCCATCTGCTGGTCTCTTGCTGTGAGGCACCTAGAAATGACACCCACCAAACTACACATTTGTCTACCAGGAAGCAGAAGCCCAAGAGGAAGGTTTGCCCTGGCACTGCTGACAAGCAGTGACTTGAGCACAAGGAAGGCATCGGAGGTGCTGAGCTGGACAAGCCTGTGGGCAGGTCTCTAAACCCAGGCTCCATCAAAGCCAAACACTTGGGCTCTTTCTGTCCCAGCAAACCCAGCCAGGTTCTGGTTCCAGCTCTCCTGATTCCCAGGTCCTGGCAGACCTCTGCTTACCTCTGTCAGACTGCGTGAACTTGGCAAACAAGCTTCTTTCCCAACATGACAGTAAAGCTAGAGCAAAATCAGGCTGAACAAATACCACATTGAGGAGTGAATGTGGTTTGTCTCCCATCAAGATAGAATTGTCATTGTTTGGGAGCATTTGTCGTGTCTCACAGCAGTGTCTCCATTCAGACAAGCTGATGATGTCCTACACAGACTGTCAGAGATGGGTTTGAGTGCCTCACCTGCCAGAAGAGGACATCTGTGCTTTTCAGCTGTCAGGGGAGTATCTTAATCCCTACAACAGTGGATCCAGGACAGGCAGTCTCATTCCTATTGACGCTAATTCATTCTATTTCTGATTAGCCAGCAGATCAGACATGGCCACTCAAGGATCTGTGATCTGGATGAGCGTTGGCTCTGGCTGTTCTTCACCTCATGCACTAAAACATCTCCATTCCTGAAGCTATTCAGACATTGCCTGGACCTTCAGCAGCCTGACTGGTGTTGTGTGCATGAAGCCCTTTGCTTCCTGCCAGCACTGAGCCATGGAGCTCAGACTGGGCTCTCAACCAGCTCCTGTAGCACGCTGGTACTGACAACATCCACACCAAGACTGCTCTTCATGGAGCCTGCAGGAAAACGCTGTGGGGGGTCACACCAGTGAAGATGAGGAGCACCTATGCACAAAGTGCCACAGGAGAGGAGCAGAGGATGCAGGGTCATCACTGACAATGGGAGCTGAGACATCATCCCACAGTGTGTTGAACCCACATCGCTTCTCCATGCCCCGCCTCGCCAGCACATCCAGCTCCAGCTGTGCCGAGTCCAACAGCCTCGGCTGAGGTGTCTGCGGGATGACAACACCTTACAGAGGAGGGGACACCTGAAACAGCTTCTGCACCTTGATACATTAACACAGCCCAAAGCACATTGAACCAGGGCACTCAGTTCTGGTAAAACCCATCACATGCGGAAGCCAGTGTAAGCTGATGTTGCCAGCCTGAAACACCAAACACCTCACCCACAGCCTTCCCAGCCCTCAGGCACAGCCAGGCCACACATCAGCTCAGCTCTGATGCTGCAAGAGTTGCAGAAAGCTCCACTGAGTTGCTTTGAACACGCCTGCAAGAGGCAAAACTAGTTTTGTGCAACAGCCAAGCCTTAACCCAGCCTCGCTTACCTTGTCAGCAGCTCTTTGCTAAACCTGTTGTACTTACAAGAACAACGCTCAGCTCTGCAGCACTTCAAGGACCAGGCCTGAGCCCTGATCCTCAACTTTTCATCATGCATATTTTAAGAACAAAGTTCTTTCTACTTTGGATATCAGCACATGTGCTCCTCTTTCCAAAAGAATAGGGAAAGGGGTTTCAGGTTTGGGATTTTCTCTAGTTGTTGAGAGCAACCAGAAGCATGTTATCATCCCATTTTGAAAAATAAAGTACTTCCCTTATTCGCCTTTTCAAAAGTCCCTTTTCTTTGTGTGCAGAAACCACCTTTTGTTCTACTCTAATGAAATAAATATTGACAGTTAATAGATAACAAAGTGCTGATGAATACAAGTTATTCTCATCTGGGTTTTGGTCTGAGCTGAAATGACTTTTCCCATGTTGTTTATTCAATACACATTGGCCCTCACGCCTCCCAGCTAAGCCTCTTTCCTGGAACACCACCCCCCCCCAGAAGAGAAGGCATCACTTGAGCCAGTTAAACATTTGCAGTTGTCATTCATCTGCAGGGTGCTTCCATCCGCAAAGTTTTCACCCCCAAAATGCACCAGAGATTTCCCAGTCAGAAACATCCTGGTCCCTGGCTGCTGGGTGAAATCACTCACCCTGCACTGCAGGGCTCTGCCACCCAGGGCTGCACCTTGCCCATAGCCCCAGGAGCTGCTGGGCACCCAGCAAAGCAACACAGTAAAGGTTAAGCAGCCTCCTAGAAGGGAAGGGTCTGCTCACCTCCCACCTCGCGCACACAACCTCTGCTCATTTCTTTTCCACTTCATCCAGCATGAAACCAGTTGTGGATGTACAACACCAAAACCTGGTTTTTACACTGAGAAGCAGCTCAATTAACCTCTGCAAGTCTCTGTGTCATGCCCTCTGGGACCAAGCTCATGAACATAATGATTTTATGAGCCTTTTCCTGCTCTAAGATCAGCTACTCTGCAAAGGACCTGGGTGCTCTTCTCACATTCCTCCTGCCTGCTCGGGAATTACTGGACTCAAACACAGCTCTTGTACCCGAAATAAATTGACATTTAATATTTTACAATGACTTTAAAGTTCTTTGAACAGTATTTTACAGCTCAGCACAGACATCAGGGATTTGGTGAGGCTGCACGCGAGTACAAAGATGACCTGAAAGAACCTCAGACTTCTTTCATTTCCAGAAAGCATCAGAGGTCAAAACTTGAACCGGGATTACAAGTCCCTAGAGTTTGTGTTTGTTTTGCTCTCTGAGATGGAAATTCTCTCCTCTGGCATTTCTGCGGGGTGAGCTGACACCCAAGAGGTTCACATCATCAACAGTGGCAGCGGTATATTTAGCCATGGATCTCGAGATCACAAATAACACAGTTTTGATAGGATAAGGTGCTATTTTAAAGTACTGAAGAATAAAACCCCGCTGTCAAATCTCAGCCCCGGTTGAGAAGACGCACATGAACCCATTGGGGAAATGAAGAGTCAGTGAGAAAACTTCCAAGAGCATGGCAAGAGTTGTTAAAATCCATTTCTGATCCCTTGAGCCTATTGGACTTCAACCACTGATGTACAGAAGTGCACAGCAGTGACCTCAGTGTGTGCTCCCACAGTGCCCCATAGGCATCCAGGGAGAGGAGACAGCTCACCACGACCTGGCAGTGTTTTGGTGTCCCTGCTAAGCCTGTGCTGCGAGCAAGGGACGAACACTGCTCCATGCATATAGGAGAGGTGCTTCTGAAGTCAGCGTGTGGTTGAGGAAGGTGGCTTCTGGCCAGAAGTCCAAGCCAGCTTTGCATCATGGTGGAGCCAGAGCATCTGCTTATGTTCAAGTGATGCTTCACCCTGCACAAGGGTATTTTCTTGGAGTCCACAAGGCGACACCATCCTTGGGATGGTTTATTCAAGTAGAAGGATGGAGCACAGAGGCCCTGGGAGCATGTTCACGTCTCATTTCTGCTCATCTCTGGCCACTGGCAGAAGCTGCATCCAGAGCTGCTGAGGACACCAGAAAAGCACCTTCTCAAACCAAGCTGTTCACCGCTGCACCCAGACCAAACTGCCCCCAGAGGCAGTGGCCTCATCATGGCTGAGCCCTGCAGCCCCCCAGCAGTACTGGGGATCCCTTCCAGACACTTGTATGGGGCACATGTCCTCAGCATCATGATCCTTTTAGCCAGCAGCAGGCAGCACACTCTTCTGCCTATTCTCATTAGTGCAATCACCAAAACCAACTGCAAAACAGCTTGAGGGCTATGAAACCAGGCAAGACTTTTCCAGTCTCATTTCTTTACTCATTGGGTCAGAATACCTCTAAATACCTCCAAATATTGCACCTTTCTGTACCTACAGCCTTGCAGAAGGGGGAAGCGGGAGGAATCTCAAATCCTACCATCACTTGCAAGTGTCACTAGTGGGTTTGGTGATGGGCTCTTCTCTAGCAAAGCTGCCACTTCAGGTGAGTTTAAGGAATCCTAGTGGTTTCCCTGGTACTTTCCTCCCTCCTATGAGTGTGAGCATGGTTTCTGCCATATTTCAAGCAACTACTGAGGACTCAGCCTCTGGGGTGTCCTTAGCTTCCAGTGCTGCAGAGCAGGATGCAAGGATGTGGGCTGAACAGGCAGCACATCTCATGTGAGCTCTGAATTTCTGCAGAAATTGGAAAGTCATCTCTTGCAGGTCCTGGGTTGCAGTAAGGACATGTATAAATGACAAAAGCTGTCCACACCCTGGTATAGCCTATTGCACTCCATTTACCAGAACACAAGCAGCCGTCTACAACCCATGCTGGGGTCTTTCTGGGCCTCAGCTGGGTTGCTCTGCTCTGCACTGCTCCTCTGTGAGACACCCAGCCCTCATAATTTAAAGGAACCCTTGGGAAAGCCTGTCCACATCCCCAAAGGACTGTCCTGAGCTCCCTCAACCTGGTACAGATGAAATGCCATCAGGACACTGGTTGGGTGACCTGCAGCTCCACGTGCCTCAAAGACCACCTACCACCACTCAGCCAAGGACACCAGCTTTCCAAAACGCCCCATCACAAGTTCCCCCAGCTCACACTGGCCTGGCAGCCGCTGTCAGATACAGCCACAGCAGCATGCGCTGGAGGGAAACAGCCCTGTCCTTGCCTTGCCCTCTCAATCCAGCTGTTGTCATCTGCTGAACCAGTGGAGATCTCAAGGAAACAACTTGCCTCCCATTACTGAGGAACCCTGAGAGATAGCAGAGCACACCACCAACATTCCCACTTCCCAAGGACAGGCTGAGCGCGCAGCAGAGCAGCCCAGGCACCATGCTAACGCTTTGGCTGCAGGATGTCTTGAACAAGAGCACTGGGTCTCCAGCCCAAAGGAGGAAAGTCAGCTTCCTTCTCCTGAGCCAGCGCTGGTGTTGGATGGGATCTGGTTTGACATGACACCGGGTTCTTTTATGGCAGTGCTCCACTGAAGGTGGCAATGGGTAAACACAGGAGAGAATGAAACTCGGAGGGGTCCTGGTGGGGCAAAGGGGATCTTCTTAGTGCAAAGAGCTCACTGTCCCTGGGTTTGTAGCACACCGAGATCTCACACCTGCAGGGGAACAAAGCAGAACAGGATATAAGTAAGGTGTGTGGCTGACAATCACCAGCCTCAGGTGCAGCAGAAATATCTGCAAACAGGAACTAGTGCAGGCTCAGCAGGACTGGAGCTGGAGAGCTGAGAGTTCAGGTCAGATGGGGACCTAGGGCAGAAGCACCCATAAAGGGAAAACAAGACCTTTTGCATCCCCCAAGCTCTGGGGACAGGGATGTAGCTCCTTTTCCATGCCATGCATTGAGCTCTCCCACAAGCCCCCTGAGTTGCAGTAAAACACTTTTCACTGCTATTTAAGAAATAAGATCCCAAATTTCTTTCCATTCAACTGAGTTGATCTCTCTGTGTTCAAGGAAGTACAGTCTCTACAGTGAGTTTTCAAATTCCAGCACCTGGGCACATGACTGATGGATGAATAGTCAAATGAACAATTCTTGCTCTACCCTGTGAAGATCATGGGTTCCTTCAGCAATGGGTATGCCAAAGGTGGTAAAGAACATAAATGAGGTTTAGAAGTTGAAGGCTTTGCTCATATGCCCAGTGCTCTTCAAACACCTCAATAGCATAACTTTGTCTTCTGACTGCTCTTCTGGAAGAGATGTCTGTACAGAGTTTAACAGTTGACTGGGAACCACCTTTTAGACTGCGGGGGTCATGAAGGTAAATGAAGGTCTGAGCAGACCATCCACCCAACCTGAGCTCAGCTGCACTCCAGAGCTTGGAGCTGCATCACCCAGCTTGGGCATCTGGCACCATGGAGCTCAGGACCTTGTTCCCCCATGGCGTGTCCCTGGCCCTAGAGGATCACTAGATGATCTTTAAGGTCCCTTCCAACTCTAACCATTCTATGATTCTGTGGCCACCCATGCTTCATGGGCAAGTCTTTACACACAGGATGCACCATCCCAGGAGCTCTGATTGCAATGGGCAGTTCCTACCTGGTTACACTCTGCAGGATCTTCTGCTCATCCTGGTCCAGGCACACGGCAAAGGAGGACTGGACACCGATGATCTGGACCTTGTCTACTTTTATCTGGGACACACTGATCTGCTGACAGAAAAAGAGCCTGAGTGAGGAGCTGCCAGCCAGGGAAGGGGAGCCAGGTACCCCTGATGCAGACCTAGTGGGCAACAGTAGACGGATGCCCCCAAAGAGCTCCTCTCTGCCACCCTGCTTCTCCCCAGCCATGTCTGGCTGACCTCCTGTTACCAAATGTGAAAGCACCATGACTCGAGTTACCTGATTGAAACTCTTCTTGGATTTGGAGTTTTGCCTTTTGACCACCTCTGTCATGGTTAAGTTGAGGCACTCTGTCTTTGAGCCTGGAACACAAGAAACTGTTATCACTTGAGGCTTCAGGGCTCCTTCCACCTCTCAAAGCAATCCAGAGCCAGTGGCTCCAGCAGGACCCCACTGCTGGGGGAAATGCAGTACAGCTCTAGCTCTTCTTCCCTCATGCTAACCCACATGGAAAGCAAGCAGAGACACACAGGTAAATGTTGTCTCTTAATTCCCAACTGCTCTCCAAACGTAGCAGAAAAGGACATTTATCTAAGTGGCTATTGGTTCCTGGGACCTAAACAGGAATTAAAAAAACAACCACCAAACCCTCCCAAAAAACCATTGACCCAGCATCCCGAGGGAATTCCCGCAGACCACCAGAGATGCTCGTTCATGTCGGAATTACAGTGACATCCTGTGGTCAAACTCGGAATGCAAAAAACAACGGAGAGAACGGAGGGGACCGGGTCTCTCTTGGAAGGAGGGAGATTGTTTTACAAGTGGAGCTTCCGACACCGCTCGAAGCCAACCCAAGCGTAGGCAGCACAAGCAAAGCTCCTGAACTAGTGCGGAAACGTCCAACTCAAAGTCTAGAGGAGATAAACCAGTTCCTGCTGGGCTTTCCCTGGGGTTCTCTGCACGGCTCCATGGCTGGAGCAGTAACAGGAGGGACAGAGGTTTCAGTTGAGCTCCATGGGGCATGTAGGAGATGTCTCCTATTTGGTAGATCACTTGTTTGCCCCTGCTACTCCACTCACAACCCACACACCCATCAGGCACAAAGTACACAAGGAAAGAACTAAAACCACCTCAGTTTACTCAGATCAGCGCCTGATCGCCAAAACAGCAGTTCACAAGACTGAACAGGTATTGCTTCTAAATACACATGGAGACTAAAGGCTTAAAGCCTTGTTAACACCCATCAGAAACCTGTTTTAAAACAAAGGCTGAAGCAAAGGCATGCAGCAGGCTCTGAGCTGCAGGAAGGAAACCAGGCTGGAGAACCAGCTGAAAGCTGGCTGCAAGGCACAGCTGCTGTGGAGGGCAGGACAATGGCCCATGGTCTTGCTCCACTGAATCCCAGTTTTCCCCTGTCCCTCCCTCTCCTTACTAAACAAGTGTGGTTCTGGAAAGCACCACTCTCCAGCGATCATCCTGCTCTTTAAACTGTCCCAGCCCCATCCCTAATGTCCATCCCATTTCCTTGGCTGGAAGCTTTAGTATAGTCATACATCAACTGCCCTTCATCCCTGATGTGGTGCTAAGGACAGCCAGGGACTACAGAACTCCCCAGGGAACACCAGGCACCTCCCATGCATCTGCTGCATTCACACAGCTCCAGCTAGAAGATCCACACTGCCCTCTTGTTTCACCAGTCCTTTCCAATATTCCCTGTGCAAAGCTGCACAGACCACCTCTACCCACCTAGTTCTTCATACTTCTTGCAGGCTTTGCTGAGGTTCACAGACGTGCAGACCTTCTCAACATCATTCCAGTGACTTCTTCCACTGACAGCTGTCTGCAAGGACCAACCAAAACCCAGGAGAGAGGATCACAGAATCACTTAGGTTGCAAAATACCGTTAAGAGATTCCCCCAGGGACGGTGCCTGCAGCCCTGCCCTGGGCAGCCTGTTCCAATGCCTGAGCACCCTCTGGGGCAGGAATTGTTCCTCAGCTCCATCTAAACCTGCCCTGGTGCAGCTTGAGGCCGGTTCCTCTTGTCCCATCCCTTGTTCCTTGGGAGCAGAGCCCAGCCCCTCCTGGCTCCATCCTCCTGTCAGGCAGTTGGAGGCAGCCATCAGGTCCCCCCTGAGCCTTCTCCAGACTGAACCCCCCAGGTCCCTCAGCCCTTCCCCATCACCCCTGTGCTCCAGGCCCTGCACCAGCTCCGTTCCCTTCTCTGGCCCCGCTCCAGCCCCTCAATGTCTCTCTTGCAGTGAGGGGCCCAGAGCTGAGCACAGGATTCGAGGTGCGGCCTCACCAGTGCCCAGTGCAGGGGCACAATCCCTGCCCTGGCCCTGCTGCCACAATGGTGCTGATCCAGGCCAGGATGCTGGGGGCTGCCTGGGACAAGCTGCTCATGGTCAGCTCCATCAGTCAGCAACTCCACATCCTTTTCTGCCGAGCAGCTTTCCAGCCACTCTTCCTGTTGCAGATGCCCCACTCCAGGCTGCTGTTACCCTCCCTCCAACCCTGAACCGTCTGCCTGAGCTGGCTCAGGTCTGCCTGTGCAGTTCCAGGTAAATCCAAAGTTTGAGTCTGCATTAAAATTCATTTGACTTTGGATTTACAAAAAGTTGCCCAGGCTTAACAGTAAATAACTGCAGAGGAACCAGCCAAAAAGGAGGAACTACTGTGGCCAGCAGAAGATTGCCCTCTGGAAGCAAAAGCCATCACATAAAGTGGTACCAAGCACACACCCAGTTTGTGGAAACTGGCTGCACATTCCCTATCTCATTGGGCTGAATAGGAGCAGAAAGCCACCCCCATTAGCCCATAAGTAGACAGTTTGCTGGACTTTGGCTCATGTGGGCTTGGATCTGGGCTCTTCCAGCAGACTGCCAGCATTTGCCTCTCTCAGCCCCCAGGTGAAGCAGGTTTGCCCAGAACTGATTTGGTTTTCTGCTCCATTTGGCTTTGTGTGCCACTCCTGAGCACTCACCTTGCTGTAGGCGATCTGTAGTGTTAGTGGGATTGCTTCTCTATCTCCATCTATACCCAGCCTTTTGCTGCCTGGTCCTGAAAGAAACAAGGAACAAATGTCACACGATGGCCTTTTATCCCCATTCTTCCACTGGCCACTGATACAGCAGCACACTCAGCACCTACAAAAAGGGGGCAAAAAAAGAATGGTTTGGTGAACACAGCTGTGGAGCAAAAGAACAGAAGGAAAAGGTGGCTCAAAAGCTGCCAGAAAGCAATTAATCCAGTGCAGAGATTTCAACACAAAGCACAACAAGCAGCTCTGTAAAACTGAAAGCAGCGCTGGTGAGGCCAGTGCAGAGGGGTCAGTGCTCCAGGGAAAACACAAAGCAATAAAAGGCCTCATTGCTAACCCAGCTCCTGTTTTTCCAGGCATATTTCTGCCCACATTAAATTAGCCCTGAAATCCTGTGCCCGACACTTACTCACTCTTTTTTTCCCTGGGTAATTTTTAGCAGATGTTCAGTGCTGCCAGAGAACCAAGGAAAAAAGAAATCAAAGGCAGCAGGACTGGTGGTTTCACGAGTTGTTGGGCAGAGGCCTTGGCTGAGCCTGAGTTCTGGGGAGCAGCATGGGTGACACTTCATATGGAGGGTATTTTATGAGCTCTGTTTACAAGGACAAGGCCAGATCACAGAAAAGCACTTGGTTAACACAATTAAGCAACGTGTTTGAATGCAGTATTATTGGGTGGCCATGAGATGTCTCTGCAGCTGCACGGCACCAGGCAGCAGCATCCTGTCCTTGGGTGTCCGGGATACTTCTGCCATTGCTGCTTCTCCCTCTGTTATAAATTCCTAGTGAAAAAGCTCAGGGATCTCCCTTGCAGGAAGGCTCCAAGCAGAGGCACAAACCTTGCTTTGCCCAGGAAGCAAAGGGAATGGGAAGAGGGGTTTATAACTCCTGGGCAAAGCACAAACAACAGAAAGTAGCAAAAAGAGAAGATGAAGAGCTGCGTTTGGCCAGGTGGTGAGGAGAGGAAAGAAATGGGCTTGAAGCTGCTTTATTGCAAATACGATTTGGAGGTAGCAGCAGTAAAAACAAGGTATTGCCACAGCTTCAGGCCTGAAGAGGAATGCAAGAACTATAGTGCTTCACTTCCAAACCTGGGAAAAGCTGCCTGGACCTTTGGCACAATGCACCCACTGCAGCCCAGGCTCAGGTACCTGCTGCAGCCCACAGTCCCTTCCAGCCCCACTTCCCATTTGTCTCCCATTCCAGCAGAGCTCTGCCCTGAGGCTGTTGGGGCAGAATAAAACAGCTACAGACCTGATGCCTTGATGGCCCGTGTGGCTGCTGAGTGGCCCAGCTCAAGGGAGTGAATGAAGACTTCAGTCATCTTCTCTCCTCCGATGAAAGTGAGCTGCAGGGGGGGGAGAGGGAAATGTGGTGATGGTGAGGACACAACAGGTACATTTGGGAAAACTTATTTTCAAAACACAGCTTCCAACTACTGCCTTGTGTGACAAGCCTGGAGGAAAGAAGCTGCATGGACCTCTCATAGCAGCCTTCCAGTATCTGAAGGGAGCCCTACAAGGATGCTGGAGAGGACTCTTCATGAGGGACTGTAGTGACAGGAGAAGGGGGAATGGGTTCAAACTGAAACAGGGGAAGTTCAGGTTAGATATAAGGAAGAAGTTCTTCCCTGTGAGGGTGCTGAGGCGCTGGCACAGGGTGCCCAGAGAAGCTGTGGCTGCCCCATCCCTGGCAGTGCTCAAGGCCAGGTTGGACACAGGGGCTTGAAGCAAGCTGCTCCAGTGGAAGGGGTCCCTGCCCATGTCAGGGGTTGGAACTGAATGAGCTTTAAGGCCTCTTCCAATCCAAAGCAGCACGTGGTGGCTGTGCCACGTCCCCATCACTTCACAAGCAGGTCCCAAGCTGGTGGCACAGGCAGAAAACCTCCTCTTTCTCCCTTACCGACAGGGCTGAGCCTCTTTGCCTACCTCTGTCTGGTAGAGCTGCAGCAGGACAGGGCGCGTGGCAAAGCGGCAGTAGTAGAGGATCATATCTGCCAGGATGGGCAACTGCTCCTGGGAGTCCTCCTGGGGCTCAGCCTCTGGCTTGGCAGACTGTGGTGAGAGAATACGTCACACACCTGATGGGGTACATGGTACCCACAGCTCAGTGCCAAGAACTGCCCATCCCCCCCCACCAGGGACAGAAACCCTCCTGCTGACCACCAGGAACCAACCATCTCCATCCTGTGCCCATGTAGCACAGCCTCCTGTACAGGATCACTGTGGCCCAGGGTAAGCAGAAGCTCTCCCTCAGCTCCCCTGTACCTTGGGGAAGGGGGATGCTGAGCGCTACCAGCTGGCTTACTTGTACCTGACACAGGACGTCCATGGGCAGGTTCATCAGCCCAAGAACATTACGCTCGTACCATGGGTCCAGCATGCCAATGTAGTGGGAGATGTCATTGGTGCTGCCCTCCATCCCAGCCAAGGTGGGATCCTGAAACCAAACACACTGGGGTCACTCTAGGGACCCCCCAGCTCCTCACCCCATGCCTGGGGCTTGTGGAAGAGACACAAATGCTCCACTCAGCCCACCCCATGAACTCCTCACATGGCTCTCAGGGCCACGCAGAGCACCAGTGTCACCACAAGCCCTGTGGCAAGCAGGACACGTACCACCTGAGCTGAGGCTCGGAGCTGTGGGTCCCCCAGGGATGGGGAGGGATGCATAAGCGGGGTTGATGGAGCCAAGCAGCTCCTCTTCACAGGGACGTAGAAAAACTGCAGCTTGAAGTACCTTGTCAGTAAGGGGCAGGTGCTCTCCTTAAGCCTAGAAGGGGGGAGAGGGCTGGGTGAGCCGGGCCTCCAGCGCATCCCTGCAGCCAGGGCCCCCGCGCCGCCTGCCTCACCTGAGGTTGCTGTAGGCTCGGGCCACTTTCCCCGAGATGCGGTCGGAGCCGAAGACCACGACGCGCAGCGTGGCCGCCTTGGCGTCATCCTCGCAGCTGAGGAACGGCCGTCGCTGCAGGCTGAGATGCCACGGGGCGAGCGGGGCCGGCAGCCGAGGGCTCAGGACGTGCTGCGGCAGCGAGTGAGCGCGCCGGGAGCGCGCCGGGATGCGGTGCTTGGCGTGGGATGTGCACAGGCTCTCGGCACGGCGCAGCGGCAGTGAGAGCGAGCCCGTGTCCGGGCAGTCCCGCAGGTCCCTCCTCAGGACCAGCTGGCTCTTGCTCTTGAACAGTTTGTAGATCCTGGTGGTCAGCGTGTGTCTGTGTTTGTGATGGGTCTTCTCTGCCTTCAGCTCCGGCCGCCCTGCCGCATCCAGGGAGCTCTCGTCGCTGTCCTCTGCGTACCCACTGTCCATGCAGTCCTTCAGACTAGACACAAATGACTTGAGGGACTTCCTGGAGACCACAGTCAGCTCCGAGATGGACTCCTTGGAGGCGGTGAAGAGGGACACTCGCGAGGGCTTCGATCCCTCCTCTGACAACACCGAGTACACTGAGTCTTTGGAAATGGTGCAGATGGGGGAAAGCAGCGAGTCGCGCTCAGGGGAACCACCATCGATTTCCACCTCCTCTTCGTCCTCCTCCTCGTTCTCCGAGGCCATGGGCTCAACAATGCTGCACTCTTTGCTGAGGACATCATTGAGGATATCTGAAAGACAACCAGAGGGTGAATGTGCCTGGCACAGACTCCAGCACAACCACAGGAAATGTGGTGACCCCAGACCATAACAATGCCACAGCGTGGCCAACGCTCTCTCATGGTTTCAAACAAGGAGTTGAAAACCTCCTCCTGACATTTTTAGATATCCATGAGGCCCTCAGGTGCAATGCAAACCAAACCACATTCCTCTCCTTGAGGTCACATTTCTGTTTGGGTTCTCACAAGGCAAACACCAGTTGGGCTTTTCTTCCTTTCTACACAGGTGTCACAATGTGCTTGCATCCAATCCAGATTTAACCAGAGGGCAAGAGGAAGGCAAGGTGTTTGGCTAATCAAACTCCAAATCACCGCACTGAAGGTGGCCTCTTAGAATCATAGAATAGTGAGAGTTGGAAAGGACCTTAAGATCATCAAGTTCCAAACCCCTGCCATGGTCCTGGACACCTTGCTCTAAACCAGTCTTGGCAAGGCTGGACTCACTGCAAAGCCCAAGCCATGGCTCTGGTCCAGAATCCTGGGACTGGCACGCAATGAACACTAAACCTTCCTGGGAACAGAAAAGCTCTTCCAGGAATGGGGAAGCTGGAGAGACCAGCTCAGCAGAGGGGAAGCCACTGCTTCCCCTGCAAAACTGCTGTGGCTTGGCTGAGAGCACAGCAAAGGCACCCACTCCTTGGCTACGCCTGCTACGAGGAGGGGAAATGCAGCAATGTCTGAAGGGTCTCAGCCCTACAAAGCCCTGACATCTCAATGTGTTCAGGCTTTCCTAGCAACAACTATTTCCAGGGCACAGACAATGTTTACTCCTTGTAGAGGAGCTTTCTACCAAACAAGGTCTCCATCTTATCAATATCCCCACGAACTCATAGAATCCCAGACTGGTTTGTGTTGGAAAGGACCTTAAAGCTCATCCAGCTCCAACCCCACCTTCCACTAGAGCAGCTTGCTCCAAGCCCCTGTGTCCAACCTGGCCTTGAGCACTGCCAGGGATGGGGCAGCCACAGCTTCTCTGGGCACCCTGTGCCAGCGCCTCAGCACCCTCACAGGGAAGAGCTTCTGCCTTAGATCTAATCTGAACTTCCCCTGTTTCAGTCTGAACCCATCACCCCTTGTTCTGTCACTGCAGTCCCTGATGAAGAGTCCCTCTCCAGCATCCTTGTAGCCCCCTTCAGACACTGGAAGCTGCTCTGAGGTCTCCACGCAGCTTCTCTTCTCCAGGCTGAACAGCCCCAACTTCAACAACCTCTTCCAGCAAGGCACAACCTTCCCAGCAGATTAAGCCCTACATGATTTGTCTCAGGCACCACACGTTTTGCAGCCACCAGTATCTTGTGCCCACCACTCAGATGAGGGCTTTGCTTGGGATCATGCCCAAGCTGACACCCACATCCTCTCCCATCTTGGGGATACCAGCACCGATGGCGTTACCTCTCCCTCCAACACCAGCAACTTGTTATCAGCTCTTTCAGGCTCTGCCTACAGCTTGTGTCGTGCACATGGTTGCAAGTGGCAGCCCAGGCCAAGCTGAAATGCTGCTCAGCCACCCCTGTGATGGGCAGTGGGGGGCTGAGGTCTCACCGGGAGGGTCAGAGGACCCCACTCTTCTTACCAAAGTTATCCTGATCCCAGCTGTAAGTGTAGCAGCGAGCGGCAGGGATGGGGATGGTGTGGAGCCTGCGGGGCTGACCCTCACCTGGGAAGAGAGGAGGGAGAGGAGGTAAGTGTGCAGGGCCCCACAGTACTGCTCATGACAGCTCTCCCGGCCAGGAGGAGGTGACACCCACCCCAATTACACAGTTTGGCAGCTTAGGTCATGCAGAACACAGACGCTGCTGCTGTTATCCCCATGAAATCACACACGATTGGGATGAGGGGGCATTCCACAGCTCTAAGAGCCATCAGACATCACTGCTACCATGGGTTTCTGACCTAATCATGTGGGTTTTCCTCTCACCCACAAAGGCTGGACACATTTTTTGTTGCTGCTGTTACGAAGAAAGATGACGAACCCTTTCTGGCTCATGGCTTGGTTACGAGATAGGGCCTGGGCTGGTGGGGTTTCTGCTGTAGCTGAAGCTGTGCAGAATGGCCCCTTGCTGCTGCAGGGGCTGAGCTGGCAGCAAACCCTGGGGACAAGAGGAGCCTGGGGAGGGGGTTCTCACCCGTGATGGCAGGAAAGGAGGCGGCCCCGGCAATATCCCGCAGCACGGACTGCAGCCGCTCCCGCGCCAGGACAGGGTCACTGCTGGCAGCCGCAGCCTCCTGAGCATCCGTGGCGGTGGCGTAGATCTCTGAGAGCTCTTCCAGGGTCTTGGACTGGGGAAGCAGAGCCCGGGTGAGGGAGGAAGGGTGTCCCTCCACAGGAACAGCATACAGGTCTTTGGGCAGGAACACTAACTGCCACTGGGGGATTCTCCCCACTGCATCCTACCCCCTTCATGGAACCCCAGACTGGTTTGTGTTAGAAGGGACCTTAAAGCTCATCCAGTTCCAACCCCTTCCAACCCCTTCCACTGGAGCAGCTTGCTCCAAGCCCCTGTGTCCAACCTGGCCTTGAACACTGCTAGGATGCCCATCACCTGGGACGTGCCCTGGAACTTTTGCAAAGAAAAAGTGTTTGACAAACTCTAAGGGGTTTTCTTGACAATGTTTTGCCTCCCCCCTCCCTCCACCAAAGCAGTGTTTCTCTGGTCAAGCACTTCTACTGCATTTCAAACCTGGGGCACTTCCTCTCTCCATGTAAGGATGGAGAAAGGAGTAAAAGGCAAGAGACATTTCACAACCCAAAGTGCAGACCTCTGCTCTAACCGAGGAGGGGAAGATGTGCACTCTTCCTACAAGAAGTGTTATCGAAACTTCTTTTGTCAACCGAGTACTTCTTGGCAAGAAAACCCAGCAGCCAAGTGCACAAACCCGGCAGCGCTGGGGCATGGCTGAGCTCCCCGAGCCTACCTTCAGGACGTGGTGCAGGCTGTCCAGGTCGCAGCAGGTGCCGAAGTTGGCCTGGTAGAGGTGCTCGAGCAGCAGGATGAGCGTGGTGCTCTGCGGGTGCTCGCTGGAGCTCAGCCTCTCAGCGATGGAGAGGAACTCGCTCTGCACCTCAGAGGGGTTGAGCAGCAGCACCGTCCTGGGGGGGACAAGGTGATGGGTTTAGGCCATGAGCCAGGCCTGGCCACCGGTGGCACATGAAACTTGGACCAATGCACTCTAGATGGCAGTGTCCTCTCACATTAGGCACAGCCAGAGGGTCTCAGGGGTGCCAGATCCAGCTGCAGTGCCAGGGAGCAGGAAATGGATGAGAATCGTCCATCCTGCTCCTTGGCACCACGTCTCCTGCCACACATGCAGTATCACCTGCCCAGTCAACCCAGTAGCCAGTTGTCTAACTGACACCCAGCACATACAATGAAGGGGAGGGTTGAAAATGGGAATGGCCCCCAAAACATGGTCCCCCACACCCCCACCCCCTGCAAGATGCAGGTCAGAGCATCACTTCTGGGCTATAAGGAGAAGAACCGCATCCTTCAGCTGCCACTTTGCTCTGGACCACAATATGAACATGCACAGGCTTTAGACTCCCAAACCTGCAGCCCAGAGAGCACATGCTTACACTGACAGATAAGAGCAGTCCACCTCACTGAGCCAGAACTACTCTGAATTAAGGATGTGCTCTGGTGTGTTTGGTATTAAAGAGCTCAATAAGCACCAGGTTCAGCTTGTGTACAGCTTTGTGACAGGTTTTCAGGGCTTTCTATGCAAATACAGCCACCCTGCTGTAAGTCATCGGTGGCTGCACCAGGATAAGCAATGTAGAGCAGCAGAGCTGTGCTGGGAAAGCAACAGCGCAACCAGCACAGCTGGGTGGCTACAGACACAGATCCAGGGGTGCACAGCATGAGTGGAGAAGCAAAAACAGCAGGAGACCCCCCTGCAGAGTGGAAGTGTCTGTGCATGAGGGACCGTCCCTGGCACAGGCACTGCAGCCGGGAAGGGCACACACTGCCCAGGCTCATTTCCCTGTTCATGAGGGGTCCTGGCAGGAGGAAAGTTCAACCTCGGATAAGGTGCAAAGTCTGACTGTGCTGCAAGGCTTTCAGTAATCATTGCACAGGGATGGATTCGCTTCTGACCCCCTCTGAGGTGGTGGCTCCCAAATACACAGATCAAAGCATCTCCTCCCTGTTCTCCAGCATGTGCTGAGATCAGCAGCTCCTGTGGAGGAGACTGCCTCCTCCTCTCCCCTGGAGACTGACCCTGTTCACTCAGGTCTGCAGCCCCACAGGATAACCGACACAGGGAGTCCACAGACCCTGACCCACAGCTGGGGACCCACTCTCCTTGTCCCTTCCCACAGCTCAGCCCAGTTCTTCTCCCCAGCACCCACTGCTATACCCCAAAGATGCCCTCGCTGCAGCCCCACTGCTCCTTAAGCAGTGGGAGACCATGGGGATGCTGCAGCATGGCACCAGCAGTGCCAATGGCCACACTTACACAGTGGAGCTCTGGTAGTTCTTCACGGGCAGCCCCTGTTCTGTCCTCACCAGCCTCTGGAAGGAGATCCCTGGGGAGAGAGCAGAGGACATGAGACACAGCACTGCTGCAGACTGCTCTGCCTCAGAGGCACGCTTTGTCTCCTAATGTGATGCTAACCTGGCTGAGCTGCTGTCCAGACAGGCACAGCAGCACCAAAAGTCCTTGTGGGGACAAGACTCAGCCACCATGTAAGTCTAGGGGCAAGGAATGTAAAGGGTAAAAGCCCGGAGCAATGGTAAAGCAACCAAAGAGTGGGATGGGAGAGATGCTTCATCCAGTCCCTTACGCCACACTGCTGATGTGGAATGCGAATTGAATGGATGCTATCTGGCAGCTTCTGCCCATTGCTTTAGCTCCCCAGGCCCTGGATCTCACTTATGGACAGTAGGTCACTGCCACCTTCCCTCCCACATTGCTCAGACTGGACCCGGCAGAATTGAGGCTGGCATGGACAGTCCCTGTCCCCATCCCTTGGATGCCATCGGGACCTCCAACCAGGTGACATTGGATGGACCTGGACCGTGTGGCACCAAACAGCAGAGTCCATGTCACCCCCAAACAGCAGGACTGGGGCACATCTTGGGAAATGCAGTGTTAATGAGATCCATCACTTTCATTGCTACAGGCAGCCACATCGCAACACCAGCACCCACGGGCAGCACATGTTGCTCATGCAGGCCCCCGATGACAGCAGCATTCACTCCTCTTGCAGAGGCATCAGCCCCAGTCGGCACATAAAAGCTATCACATTCTTGGCAAATACTGACAGCAGCTTGGTCTCAGTTAATATTCACCTTCCTCTCAATAAAAAGCTTTTGCTTTAGCCTTGCAGCAGGTCACAGAGGCCACGCAACAAGCTTATAAGGTCCTGGTCAGCTTACGAGCAGAGAACATGTTTTCTGCTGTTCTTGGCTCCAGCTGGGGGAGAGGCCACGGTGAGGGGCAGCACTGGGCTCCCCAGACCCACCAGGCCAACACCTCCCACACAGCATCTTTTGGCAGGGGAGGGGAAATCTCATCTGCCTGTAGGAAGGGAAAAGCTTTTGGACCAAAGTCCCCAGCTCACACAGCCTCAGGCACCAGCACTGGTGGTGCTGGGTCAAGAGCAAAAGGTAGCAATTCCCCCCCAGCACTGGAGCTTACCCAGCCATCTGTAAACACAGTCCCAACTGGTGCCATAGCAATAAATGACCAGGAAAGAGCTAGGGAAGTCCGTGGCTGCACCAGAATGAGTGGTGAGCATCCCCACATCCGTGCTGGCCCTGCAGCTCTGAGCTGGAGGCTGAACACAGCACAACAGCCCAGCCAGACCCTGCCTGGTGCCCATGGCCATTTATGGTGGTGGAGCCTTGAGCTGGGGATGGAAGAACCAGTCCAGTGCCAGCACTGCAGAGGGTTTACTTCAATCTTTCTGTTTCTCTTTCACCCCATCCACATCTACAAGCTCCCACCTCCGCAGGGACCCCGAGTTTCATGTCCCCGTCCCAGCTCTCCAAAGCAGCTGCCTAGATTAGAGATGGGGGTAAGAACCCCAGCCCCAGCTCATGTACCCATCCAAGGCCTCCCAACTCCTGCTCAGAGCTGATCTTGATGCCATGACCCTGCACAGGAGTAAGCAAGGCCTGAAATGTGCTCTGTGTGATACCAGCTCTCTGTAAGCCACCAACAGACAGGGAGATTAGGGGAAAAGGCCTTTTAGAGATAATTGGAAGAGCTGCTCCATTGGGAACAACAGGACATCTACAAGGAGGCCTTAATTAGGAGGAGCGCTGCTGCTGCTGATAGATGTGCCCAAAGCTGTATCACAAGGTGCCTCAACTGTAAAGAAAGAGCCAGGGAGCCCCTCAGCCCTACAGAAATCTCCACGCAAGGGCAGGCTCGAAGGATCCAGCCACCTTGATGCTGATGAATGGCCCCACTGTTATCACCCCAGTTACACCACTGAGCATCTCGGACAAAGCGCAGGGCTGGGCAGGAGCAGCCACATATGTCTTGCCATGGAAAAGACCCACCAGACCGAAAGGCAGCCAGGAAACAGTTACACATTCTAATTCACACTGGTCCAGAGCTGAGCCTCCCAAGGATGCACCCACCACCTTTCATGCAAGGCAGCCACCCAAACCACAGCCCTGCCCTGCTCCTCCAGAGGAATCTGGTGTCACCCTGTGCTGGGAAAATCATGCAGAGAACTGAGGGCAGAGCTCCGCATGTCCTGGAAAAGGTGAGGGTTGGGAAGCACGAGGTAGGTGTAAACACCACATCCAAGGGATGCATGAAGTAAGTGAGGTGGAAGAGAGCAGCACCAGAACAGGATCCAACCTGGGCGGTCACAGCAGAGGGTGGCCCAGGGGAGCAGTGGGGCAGGAGTGCTTACCAGGGGCCTTAAGCTCATTGCTGATGAAGGTGAGCAGCTTGCGGAAGATGTCACAGTAGGGCACGGGCCAGGTCAGGAAGCTGTGGTACACACCGGCAGCTTTCAGGAGCAGGTCGGAGCCCGATGGGAAATGGGGAGCCTGCGGGAGGTGGGGAGACACTGTTAGAAAGGGAGCAAAGGCACGGGCTCGAGCACTGCATCAAAACTTAAGGGCTTAGGCTGGAAGTGGGAGGAGAAGAGGCTCAGAGCAGGGGCTCATCCTGTGACACCCCATCCTCTCACAAAGAAAGGTCAAAGTACCTCCCCCCCCCGGCACAGCTCTGAGAAAGCTCCATCCGCTCTGCACCTTCCCAACCTCCCGGCTGTGCCTCACATGCCAAAGCCTATATATACATTTCTTTTTAACAAGCAGAGATCCATACAGATGAATGGCATCACAGCCTGTGCTTTTGCAAGACCTGGCAGCAATGATTTCCTCGGGATAATGATGCATTGTGCTAATAATAATAATAAGAAAGGGTTTCCTGTAAGGGCTCCGCTCCTTTGCAGCACTGCTGCCTTTACATTTTGCACAAGTAAAGGCTAATGAAAAAACTTTGCCTTCTCTGCACAGAGAAGGGTCCATCTCCCTTTCTGATTAGCCCATCTTCAAATAAAAAGCTTAAAACCCACTGAAGCTCATCTTTTACATCTCTCAGCTCATACAATGGTTGCCTGGTCTTGATCCCTGTAGATTCTTATAGCATCATTCTCTGAGATTAATTGATCAGAGCAGACCATGATGTTTCAGACAAAAGCCATTCCAATTTCTGTGACTGCTCTGCTGGGCTCCACAGGGAAAGGCTCCGCACCCCATGCATCCCCAGGGGCTGGGATCAAGCTATGTGCAGCAGCCTCAGGACTTACATACAGGACGGCGTAGTAGAAGAGCAGAGCCAGGGGCATCACGAGGTCGTAGTCGCACTTCTCCTGCACCTGTAGGAAACAGCCCAGGGCAGAAGGGTGAGCTGGGGTGCTCGCCATGAGCGTCAACCAAAAGCATCCTTGGAGGTGCCAAAGAGACTTCACAACAGTGCAGCTGAGCACTTAACCCACCACATCACCCTCCCCAAAACTTTCCTTATCTCCATGGGAAAATAACCCTTGAAGCCCCAGTAACCCACACTGATGGGACCGGAAGGTCAGCACAGACTGCTGCTCTGCCTTCACCCTCAAGAAGCTGGATTTGGCCATGCTCGCAGCCCTCTGATCATAGAATGGTTTGGGTTGGAAGGGACCTTAAAGCTCATCCAGCTCCAACCCCTGCCATGGGCAGGGACCCCTTCCACTGGAGCAGCTTGCTCCAAGCCCCTGTGTCCAACCTGGCCTTGAACACTGCCAGGGATGGGGCAGCCACAGCTTCTCTGGGCACCCTGTGCCAGCGCCTCAGCACCCTCACAGGGAAGAGCTTCTGCCTAAGAGCTCAGCTCAGTCTCCCCTCGGGCAGGTTTAAGCCATTCCCCTTGGCCTGTCCCTCCATCCCTTGTCCCAAGCCCCTCTCCAGCTTTCCTGCAGCCCCTTTAGGCACTGGAGCTGCTCCAAGACCAGCCCAGTGCTGCAAAGCTCAGCAGCATGGTGCACACCATGTATTCTTGTCCCAGCCTTTGCCACTGAATAGCCAGCAGGATACTTCACCGTGTGACACACGGCTCAAGGATACACTTGTATCCTCTTCATGAGCACAGGAAAGTGCAATAAACCCTTACATAAACCGTAATGTAATAAAACGCTGTCTGCAAACACTATCTGCAACTAAACACAGTCCAGCTATTAAAAAAACATATAAACGGATGGATGAAACTGAATATACAGCTTGGCAGCCTTTCTTTCCCCCGAAATGAAAGGCAACATTTACCCCATCACATGAATCCCAGTGCTGAGGATTTAGGAAACACATCACCATTTCCTGCCACATCAAAGGATTCCTCCAAGGTCTTCCCAGGAGCAGCCTGGGGTGACCCTGCTCTAGCAACAGTGCCTCAAGCCTCTGCAGCACATGATGGGACCCTGTAGGCTGATAGACTCGGCCCTACTGCAGCTTCACCTGCTGTGCTTGGCCCAATGCTGCACAGTGCAAACCTGCCTGCATCCAGCATCCCAGCTCCGTGCCTGCTCTGCAGGAAGCCCAGCAGAGTACAGCAAAGTTTCCATGAAAACCAACAGGAAACTTCCCATTTGCTTTGATTTGGACTAACAGCTCCCAGTGTACCCCAGGGGAACGTGTGGGGAAGTCTGGCCCCATGCGTGCAGCCCCTGCATAGCACCAAGCAGCGCTGCAGGAAATCGAACCCCTTCCCCATGGATATGCAGTGTTGCCCAATAGCAGACATTGGTGATGGGTTTTTTCCCTTGTAGCTCCCCATGTGCTGAAAGCTGGTGGGACACAGAGATGCTCCCATGAGGGTTTTTGGACCTGCAGACCCAGCATCACCCCAAGCTCCAGTGCTCCAGCAGCACCTTACCACAACCCAAAGTCACTCACCATTCCATGGGGAATGGCTTGAACCTGCCCGAGGGGAGACTGAGCTGAGCTCTTAGGCAGAAGCTCTTCCCTGTGAGGGTGCTGAGGCGCTGGCACAGGGTGCCCAGAGAAGCTGTGGCTGCCCCATCCCTGGCAGTGCTCAAGGCCAGGTTGGACACAGGGGGTTGGAGCAAGCTGCTCCAGTGGAAGGGGTCCCTGCCTGTGGCAGGGGGTGGAACTGAATGAGCTTTAAGTTCCCTCTAATACAAACCAGTCTGGGACTCTGTGAAGCAATGCAAACCCCCATTTCTGGCAAGCCCTGGAGCTGCCCCAGCCCCAGTCCCCCCAGAGCTCACCTCCTTGGCCTTGCCGAGGATCTTCTCCACAAGGATGACGTAGTTGCTGGCGTCCCGGCTCACCAGCTCCTGCAGGCTCCAGCAGTTCAGGCACAGCCCAGCTGCAGGGAGACAGAGCTGCTGTCAGCCACAGCCAGCTCAGAGAGGTCACAGGAGGGATGAACATAGGGAGGGGGTAAGGGTGAAGGTGTTTGCTGCCTGTGTCACATCACGGCGAAGGAGAAGACCTCGCGCCCTCATTCTGGATGGATCCAATCTCACCAAATGGTGTTTATCTCAACAACACTTCATGCCCAAGCACTCTCACTCACGCAGCCCAATGTGCCCAAGCTCAGCTGGTTGTCTCTTCCTCAGGGAAGCTGGGTAGCTGACATGCCTGCACTGCCATGTGCATGCTGCAGAGGCCAGAGGGATGCACATGCAATGAGTGGATGCTCACTTTCATTGTGCCTGAGCACCGAAAACCCATTGGTGTGAGCCTTTGCCCTGCGGCCCCTGTCACAAACACCCCAGATGCCCCAACTATGAACTCACTCAAACCCTGCAAAATTCAGTTCCTACCAGGCACACATCCAACCCCCTCCAGCTGCATCACACCTGAGGGAAGATGCTCCATCCCCTCAACCAGCTTCCCCACACCCTGGTGATGCACCATCAGCATCATTAAGCCTACCCAGCATTTATTCCATCTCTTAGCACCTTTAGAGTTCCACTAAATATACTAAACCCCGCCAGAAGTTTAGGCATATTCAGAGCAGTGAGTTGCCATGTGAAGGGATGGAGAGTCCTTCACTCCTGCTGAGTGAAACCCTCCCGGCCTCCACCCCCAGACATCTGCCTCTTGCTGCTGGGACCTGACTGGTGACAATGGCCCAAGGTGTTTCCCGAGGCCATCGCTCTCCTTAGAGGTCAGGGCCACCTCCCAGGTGGTCCTAGAGGAAATGATCAGTGTGAAGGCTGCCGGGCGCCTCCATTCATCCTGGCCTCACTTCCCAAGGGAGGAGGCGGTGCTCGACAGCTCCAGCAGACCAGGGTCTGCAGGCCAAGACCAGAGCAGCACCTCCTCCCCCATCCAGGGACCCAGCACCACACACAGACCCCTAGAGAGAAGCTATGGGGAAATGTCAAGCAAACAGCCTAACAAACATCTGTATCTCCTCCATTCCACACTACCATGGATTTTTTCACCAGGAGTGGATCCACTCCACACAGCTCAGCCAGAGCCCATGGCAGGGTTCAGAGGTGCTGGCATGGGGGCTCTTCCAGTCTCAGTCCAAAAGCAAACCCAAGAGAAACAGAGCATCTCACACTGCAGGGAGTGGGGCTAGTGATCTCAGAGGAAAAATAAATACAAATACAGCCGCTTTTTACTCAGCAGCACAGAAACATGGGTACCAACCTATGTGCATTGCCTGTCACTGTGGACCTACCAAGGAAGAAGCAATGCCATGAGCAGGCAAAAGGACAGTGTTTTCAGCACAAAGCCACAGGGCACACTGTCTGCCCCATCCCTCAAACATTACCCCTAGATGCAGAGGCTATAAATTCATCAGACATACAAAGATGCCATAAAAACATCTTTACACACCTTCTAGGTGCTAAACAATATGAGGTTAAACCACAGGAGAGAAATGCTGTGGTGGCCCGGCCGGGAGAAGGCCAATGCCAAGACAAGCAGAACTAGCACTAAGGTTGCAACAAGAGGCTTCATGTGCCCTCTGTAGACAGGCATTTGCTTACCAGGACACACACTGTTCCTGTGGCTTCATGCCTATTCAGTCTGTCACTGAATTAAGAGGGCAGGAGCCTTCCCCCATGGGAATGCTTCCCTGCTGCCACGCAGCTTTTCCCTGTCAATGAATTCACATTTTCCCACTGGGAAGTCCCCAAGCAGTTCAGATGCACTCGATGGTAGTTACAGCTCCAATCCTCCTGGCCCCTCGGTGTGTCTGCTGACATCCAGAGCACAACCTCAGGTCATGATACCCCATCAGCGAGGCCATGGCTACAGCGAGCCGGTAACTCAGCGATGTTCCACTTCCCTTTTGAGCCCCTCTCATAAGCCAGCACAATGGCACAGAGCAATGGCCCTGCCGACAATGATTCCAACAGATTGCTTGAACCAGTCAGTGTTATCCCAGAGTGCAGCATCCTCCAGGGAAAGCCTCAGCACCTGTGGGATAGCCAAGAGGTGCTCTAAGCTGCCAGAGCTTTGCTGTCCTGGGCAAGAAGCAGCTCATGTGTGTATTGAACATCCTGTCCTGCTTTGGCTGAGGGGGATGTTCCATCCGTGAGATCCCGACCCTGGTGTGGCCACCCTGGACTGCCCTGGCCATGTGGAGCAGGAGCCATGGGAGCAGCAGAGCTGAGCTGTGCCGGGCGCATCGCCAGGTACCGAGAACACCGCTTCCTGTGCGAGTGTAACCACATACACAAATAGCCCAGCAAGACCAGGGCTCTTTCCTTCCTTTCACTCCAGCAAGGGAGGAGGAAACGGCAGCAGCAGCAGCTCGCTGCTTTATTCTGCACTGAATGGGGCAGAGGGAAAGGTGCTGAGCTGCTGCCCTGGGGAGGAGCTGGGACAAAGGCACTGCAAGTGGACCGGGAGGATGGGCAGGTAGCAGAGACAAGGGCAGGGCTGGAGGGAAGCTGAGAGAGCTGGGTTGGGTCAGCCTGGAGAAAAGGCTCCTTAAGGGGAGACCTTAGAGCAGCTCCAGTGCCTAAAGGGGCTGCAGGAAACCTGGAGAGGGGCTTGGGACAAGGGCCTGTAGGGACAGGCCAAGGGGAATGGCTTGAACCTGCCTGAGGGGAGACTGGGATGAGCTCTTAGGCAGAAGCTCTTCCCTGTGAGGGTGCTGAGGCACTGGCACAGGGTGCCCAGAGAAGCTGTGGCTGCCCCATCCCTGGCAGTGTTCAAGGCCAGGTTGGACAGAGCCTTGGGTGACATGGTTTAGTGTGAGGTGTCCCTGCCCATGGCAAGGGGGTTGGAAATAGATTATCTTAAGGTCCTTTCCAACCCTAACTATTCTATTATGCAGACAGGTATATTAGAATAACGTCACTATGAGCAGAAATTCCTTTTAACTCATGGCCATGGCAAGGCACTGGGGTTACCCTGGGATTGAAATAAACAGTGCTGGGAAGCAGCAGGCTGCCACAGTCTGAGATCCTGAATTTGGCAAAGAACATTAACCAAAACCACACCAAAACAGCTGTATCCTTGCTAAAAATAATGTTATGTGTGAAATGCAGCTTGGAAATCCTGGACACAAGAAACAAAGACGATGCTGCAAAGCAAAGTGTCCGGCACTGACAAGCATCAGTCAGGACAGGGCATCCACACCTGGGTGGGAATCCCCTACCCTCCATGCACAGTCCAGGTCAAGAGCATCCACTTCCCAACCACTGGGAGCAGAGTCAGTCCCTCCAGCCAGATCCCCTTCATCCAGACTAAAAGGGATATTTGGGCACGGCAAGTGATGCTCCTAACGTGCACAGGTCTGGAATAAAAGTCCCAGATGATATTGAGCAGAAAGGAGTCACCCACCAGCAAGAACCCTCTCTATCCTTCTGCAGACATCCTGCATCCACCTGGGATGCAGCTGGGTGCTGCGGTAACACATTGCCAGCTGATGTCCAGCCTTTCATCCACCAGTACCCCTAACCCCTTCTCCCCAGGGCTGCTCAAACCTGCATTGACATTGGGGGTTGCCCCAGGTGCAACTGCACCGCTCGAGACGCCTGCAGCACGGCAGGAGCCAGCAGCAGCGGCCTCAGAAGGATGCGGCTTTGCGATTTCTCTTCTAAGAAGCCGAGCACGCTGCCCCCCTCCCGGAGCAGCCCCTCTGACCGCAGCGGTGCCGTTTCCCCTCGGCTGCTCCTCACGGGGCAACTGCCAAAGCGGAAAAAACACAGCAGAGAAAACTAGAAATCAAGCAGCAACAGCACATGCCCGAGCTGCCAGTGCCCACAGCGCTCAGGCTGGCATCGGCTCCAGCTGCTGGCAGGAGTGACACAGTTGGAAGGCTGAAAAGCAAATGTCTCCATTTCCTCCCTCCCCCGGACCCACTCCCACCATTTCCACTACGTCCTCACCAGAACAAGGTGCTTTTTTCCAAGGGACTGCCCAGGGAAGGGCCGACTCACAGCGGTTCCTAAGTCATAGAATTAGAATCATAGAATCATAGAATCATAGAATAGTTCGGGCTGGAAAGGACCTTAATATCATCAAGTTCCAACCCCCCTGCCATGGGCAGGGACACATCGCTCTAAACCATCTCACCCAAGGCCTCGTCCAACCTGCCCTTGAACACTGCCAGGGATGGAGCATTCACAAGCTCCCTGGACAACCCATTCCAGTGCCTCACCACCCTAACAGGAAAGAATTTCCTCCTTATATCCAATCTAAACTTCCCCTTTTTAAGTTTTAACCCATTACCCCTTGTCCTATCACTACAGTCCCTAATGAAGAGTCCATCCCCAGCATCCCTATAGGCCCCCTTCAGATACTGGAAGGCTGCTATGAGGTCTCCACGCAGCCTCTTCTCCAGGCTGAACAGCCCCAACTTTCTCAGTCTATCTTCATACGGGAGGTGCTCCTGTCCCCTGATCATCCTCGTGGCCTTCTCTGGACTTGTTCCAACAGTTCCATGTCCTTTTTATGTTGAGGACACCAGAACTGCACACAATACTCCAAGTGAGGTCTCACGAGAGCAGAATAAAGGGGCAGGATCACCTCCTTCGACCTGCTGGTCACGCTCCAGGGGACTGGAGGTGAGGACAGGAGACAGCAAAAGCCCACAGTCACAGCAGCCCCTCGGATGATGCCAGCTGCACTGTGTAGCATTCCAACCTGCAGCTTCCAGAGCCCATTGAGGAGGGCACAGTGAATGGAGACACCCCAAGCGCTTCCACCCAGCCTGCCAGTGAGTTCAGCAAGAAAACCCACAAGCCTGGAGAAATCAGTTCAAAAGTTAAAATTTACAACTTTTAGTTACCAGCACACCCCGATTGCACACTTGGCGCTGCAAGATTTCAAACACTGCGTTTCACTACTTGCTGATGAAGCTGGAGGATCTCCACACCAGATACCTGTTCATTCATAGAATCCCAGACTGGTTTGGTTTGGAAGAGACCTTAAGGCTCCTCCAGCTCCAACCCCTGCCACGGGCAGGGACCCCTTCCACTGGAGCAGCTTGCTCCAAGCCCCTGTGTCCAACCTGGCCTTGAACACTGCCAGGGATGGGGCAGCCACAGCTTCTCTGGGCACCCTGTGCCAGCGCCTCAGCACCCTCACAGGGAAGAGCTTCTGCCTAAGAGCTCAGCTCAGTCTCCCCTCGGGCAGGTTCAAGCCATTCCCCTTGGCCTGTCCCTACAGGCCCTTGTCCAAAGCCCCTCTCCAGGTTTCTTGTGGCCCCTTTAGTTATTGGAAGACTGTTACAAGGTCTCTGGAGCCTTCTTTTTTTCAGGGTGAACAATTCCCCATGAAGGTATCTAGATGATTGCAACTGAGCAGGATCTTAAGCTTCTCTTTATTACAGCTGAGCAGATTGAATTCCCTGGGCACCGCATGAGAAGTATCATTGAACACTCCTCCTGCTCACCAGTGACCTTCATCCATCCTCCCTCGCTGGCATCCTTCATCCCTTCTGACTTGTGTGCAGCCCCATGGCAGTGACACAGCAGGTCCCTACGATCCCTGGGCACTATGTAGCCTCTCCAGCAGCTCACTATTCACCACGACCCTCCAGCCCCCCTCGAACTCAGCACCCCAGCACTGCCAGCAGCCAGACCCAAGCCCAGCACTCTCCTCCACCAAACGCTCCCCCCATTTCACTGTTGACCAGCAAGAAATGAACTATTTTTCTTCCTTTAGCACATTGTGATTTAACCATCATCTCTTTGCAGCGACACAGTGGAAGCGAAACTCTCTGAAGAGGGTCTCCAGAGAAGGAGGTTGTCTTTTCTAGTACTTTTCTAACACATTTTTTTCTTGTGATTTGGCAGCAATTCATTTTTCTTTGGTTCCTCCAATAAACGCTGCAGTTCAGGAAAGATTCTCTGTTTAGACCCCAGAGCTGACCACAGGCTCATCCAGGATATAAACCTGTGATGGCCAAAGCACTTGCACTTCTCTTTGCTGACTTCACCAACCACAGTTCTTCAGTCACACAGTGGGGGGAACAACGCATCGGAAGCGATTACTCACCCTCTCTGGAGACACCTCCTGTCAAATTATCATGTTAAAAAAAGGCATTAAATAACTTAAAAATAAACACCATCTCCTCGGAAGGTCTCATCCCAAAAGCTTCAGCGTCCTGGGTGCGATTTTGGTGTGCAGAAATAGTAAAAAGGAGGGGAAAGCAAATAAACCGGGAAATATATGTGATGTAAGAAGTTCAAAACAAGAAAGGAGAAGGCTACAGCAGAGTTTAGAACAAACTGGAGAGATTCACTGACCAGCCATATGAGGAACAGAGCCCTGCCATAAATAACAGCCTGGATCTGACACAGCAGTAATTAAACTATTGATTGCAATAAGGGGAAGTCAGAATATGAAAACATTTCTGCTCTGATTTTGAACAGAAATAGGATTCACTGCTATGGGTGTGGGTACATCTGTGAATTATGCTCTGTTGTTCCCAAATCACATGTTACTGCAATAATGAAAGACTTCCTACCCCGACTGCAAGGGGGTAGGATGTGGAACAGCAGCTCTTTCAAAGCCGACATGGACATGCCATGGGGTAAAGCACTTAGAGGCAGCTTTGGCCACGCAGCGCTGCTCTCGGAGCTGTCCCACCGTGGTACCTGGGGCCATGGCACAGAAAAGCCATTAACATCACATCCACCAACCACTGTGGGAGCAGGGCTCGCCGGTCACGCTGAACACTTTTGGCAACAGCACAACTGGTTTTGATGAAAGGGAACTTTCTGATGTGTAAAATGCTCAAGATTCTCCTCGGAATGCCAGTTCATTCTGCCAAACCCCTCAAAACCCACATGAAGAGGACTGAAAGCAGCAGGCAGAGAGATGGGGGGAAATGGTTATTACTGAGGGATCAGTGGGCAGCAGAGCTGCTCCCAGCAGAGCCCACCACCCTGCCCCACACAGTCTGATCTTTGCTAATGAGCCAGAAAAGTTATGAAGTCATTTTTAAAGGCTGCCCTAACATCACCAACAGTGCTGAGGGGCTGGGATTAGAGCAAGGCAGAGATTATGAGTGACACAGGGATTGATTAATTATAATTACAGGAAGAGGCAAGTTATGCAGTGCTCAGTGAATGGCTTGGCACGATGGACTCCTTTGGACATGCACTGGAATGGTCGTAAGCATGAGCTCGCGCTTCCAGGAACAGGAAATACAGATCACACTTCAGGGCCAGTTTGCCCAGAACATGGGGAGCCCAAAAGGACCCATGAGTCTTGGTCATAAACAAGACACAGAATGATGCTCCAGCACAGGGAGCTGGCATCCCTCCAGCGGGTGAGGAAACAGGCACGGCCAAAGGGATTACTGCAGTACTTGGCAGAAGGTAGGACATTGCTTGCAACCCTTTGCTGACTTACAGGTAAACAGAAAAGCAGAAGGGGTTGAAAACAGACAAAAGGAAACCTGAATTTGACAGACCCCCAAATTCATTCAATTTCTTCCATTCACAAGAGGATTTGGGAGTGATGTAACTGCAGCCTACAAATGCCAGGATGAGGAAGACAGATCAAAATGACAGTCAAAAATGACTTCTGCTCACTGCTGCTCTGGCCTAACTGCCGGCATCCCAAACTGCTCTGAACACGGCTCAGATCTTTATGGTCACCATGGTATCTGGTCTAGATTTAAATAAAGTCGATAACAGTATCTCCACACTTGCTTCTGACAATGCAGAATAGATTACGCCCATAGGTTTTGAGGACTGCATGCATCAAAACAAGGCAAGGCTGGCTGATTACACAAAGGAGTCTTTCCTCACAGTGAGAAGCATAGAGTGCCTAATCCTCTCCAACTCAGGCATGGACAACTGGCAAGATGCACGGCTTCTCTGGTGAATCGTTATATATGTAAGACTTAACATGACTTGTTCAACATCTTCGTACTGCAGCAAGAGGCTCAGGAAGACTGACTAGCTTGGATCCTACCTCTAACATTGAACACTGGAAAGGAGAAAAGGCCTCCAAGCCTCCAGCAGCTCCCTCTTACCCGGGTGCCCAGGTAGGTCAGCAGATCGTGCAGAGGCTGAAGAATAAGCTCATGGTTAACAGGTCACTTACCAGCCCATCTGCTGGAGACAGCATCTCTGCTAAGCCCGTGTAAACATCTTTCCAGTGCGTGGTAGATCCTGTCCTCCGTACACGTGGTGTGCTGCATTTTAATTCATCTCCTACACAGAAAGAAGGGAAAAAGTTAGCATAGCAGGTCCCTGGTGAAATGCAAGGAAGAGAGCACTACTTCTACTGTAGTGAAGACAAGATGCTCCTGGTGAAGCACCATCCCGTTACTGCCTCCTGCCAACCCCAAAGCCAACCATGCACCCCAGTCTGCTAGCCTGTTGTCTTCCCCTCTGCTCCCCTAATGCATCCCAACCACAGCAGAGAAAAGGAGGTGCACACATCCACAGTGCCATCATGAGAGGCTGTGGGGCCGAGGCACCCTCTGCTGACCTGCTGTAGGCACATCTGCCTTCTCACAATTTCCATCTTTGGAAGAGATCAAGTCTCGCTCACGTGTTTGTGGCAAGGAGGTAACAGTGGGTTAGCCTCCATCGAAGATAACACAGCAAGAGATTACGGCTGCAGCACCTTGCAATGGGCTGGATGGGAAATGTACAACAGCCCAGGCTGGAAGAGATCTCAAAAGATCATGCAGTCCAGTGTGGGAAAAGTGACAGCAGAGCCCAAACTCCTCCTCACATGAGCCATGGATCATCCTTAGCAACTCTAGTGTCCAGTGGCAATGGTCACAAACCCACTCTCAAGTGCCAACCTTGTACGAGCCAGGAAAGCCTCAAGCTTCCAACTGTCATCTTGCTGCCAGACAGCCAACATGAAGAAAAGGTCCATGTGTCCCTGCAGCAATGCAGGGAAGTACAGAGGGGGCCTCAGCCCCAACATCCCAGGTCATTGTAACACTGCAGATTGCATTCCTGACTGCACCCTTTCACAACACAGCCCTGGACATCTTGTCTCTCCACCACAGCTCAGGGGGAAACCTCAACTTTGGGGTAGCAGAGACTATGTTGGTGGAAGGACTACTTTACCCCATCTAATTCATACGTATCTGGGACACCATGAAAAAAGCAAATTATCCAAAGGTTTACCTGTCAGAACTGCCCCAACCATAAGCAATCAGACAGATGCCCAGGCAGAGACTCCCTCTTCCCCTGCAGTGCCACCCTGGCATCCAGAGGGACCCTGGGGCAGGCATCTCTCTCCTCTCCCAAAGCACAGAGATGGCTCCATCCCAAAGACTTTGTCTCTGGTTTGGAGGCAACACAAATGCACAAAAATAATCCAGGAACAAGAAATAAAGCCTGCCAATACTACAAAAACTCCCTGCCAAGGAGGCCTTTGCTTTCATCCCAGACAGCACGTCCCTGTACCTAAGCCACACACTCATGTAGTTTCCAAAGTGATCCCAAAGTACTCAGATCTCTGCTTATTTGGTCAGTGTTTGAGCACTCGGTGGCTGTGCCCATCACAGCTCCCCACCTCCAGTCAGGCAGGAGCAAAAGCCACTGTGATCTCAGCAGAGGTTCCCCCTGCTCGGTGCACTCAGCGTGGCCATCTCCACCCACATGAATTCCTGGCACTTCCACCAAAGGGCTCAGTAAAGCCATGCCCCGCTGCTGGGGCTCCCTGAGAGCCAAGCGAGCAGTGAGGCTCCAGCCCTGCCGCTGGAAAGAAGCCACCAAAGAGGTGAAAGCAAACGCACAAGCAACCACTGACCTGCCAGATGCAAGCTCTCTCCTTTACCCCAGGCAGTCTCATGGGCTCCCGCCTCATGTCCCACCACCACAGGCTGTTATTACAGTCTTCACCATGGTCTATCCATCCGCAGTGTGTGCACGAGGAACACCCAAGAAGCGCTTCGCCACGGTGCTGAGGACTGAATTAGCAGGGAATCGGCACATCAGCACCTTAGTCATGACTTGTGGCAAGAGGAAAGCAGTGACTAAGAGCACAGTGTGACTCACAAGCAGCCTTTACAACACCCAGCTCACAAAAATACACCTCCCTGCACGTCAGCTTGTCTCAGGTCCTTGGAGGGGAACGTGCTCCTCACACCACACCAGCCCAGTCATCCCTTCCTGATGCCTCTTGGATCCCAGCACAGAAAAGCAATGGGATTTAAGGACAAAATATTTAATATTTCAGGAGGAAGATATCACCATAACTTTCAAACCACAAAACACAATCTTTGGGTTTGTCGGGGTTTTTTTTCCTCGTGCTATGGACCACACATGAAGTTAAACCTCTCCTCCCAAGGCAGTGATTATGGAAGCATTTTTTCATGGGAGAGGACTCTGCTTGTCCACCACAACCAAGGAGCAGGAACTTTGCAGCCTCTTCTACTGTTTATTCTCCAAACTCTCCCTTCCTTCCCACCCACCCTGAGCAAAACACAGCACAGGGATAGTTCTGGAGGATGTAACCAGACTTTCCAAAGAGCTCCGTTAAGCACCTCAAGAACACCAAGACAGACAAGTGTTGAGGTCAAGGTACTTAATGAGTGCTTTGCAATGGCTTATGATGGTGTTGAGCACCTCTTTGAATCTGTCCCTCCATCATGTCCCTCCCACTGGACTCCCAGTAGCAGAACTGCTAAACCAAGAGCAAAACCAGACGTACTGGGAGCCGGTGGAAGGGAGGCTCCATGCAGTGAACTGCCTGTGGTCATGTTTCACAACAGGTCAGGGTGAACGCTGAGAGCAGTCATGCTGTGGCACCCTTTGGGGACACCCTCATCACCAAGGCTGACTGCTGCTCTGCACCTTTCCAAGCAGAACAACACGTTGCAAAAGATGTGGGTTTCCCTGCCTCCCTCCCACTTGTCAACAACAACTCAAATAGAGCACAACCACTGCCCAGGGAAAAGAGAAGGGGTTTGATGGACCAACAAGACAGCAGGGAGGGTAACAAGAGAGCTTCCAACACTGTATCATCACAGTTTTCCTGACAGGCAATGCAGCACAGCCCTCACATCTGTACAGCCCCACTGTGAAGCACCTACAGATATCGTTCCTAGGAGGCAGGAACAGAGAAGACACTTGACGGGAACATCCTCAGGCAGCATTTGAGTATCACCCTTGGACAAGACATTAACCACCTCTCTTTAGAGATGCGTACAGACTGTGTATGGAAAAGTGTGGCTGGATCAACTGCCACTCCTGCTCTGCACAGGCTTGATAGGAGCTGAGCAAAGCAAGAAGGGATTTATCCCACCACACCTCACTTATGTGTTGAACCCCAGCCTTACAAAATCAAGCTATGGGACTTCAAGCCCTAACTGTTCTCTAAGAAGAGACTGGTTTCCCTTCTGCAGTAACTATGTGCCTTACAAGCAACACCCAAACACCATGCAAACCATACAGTCATCATTTAAGGGGCAAGAAAGCAAATGTGGAAAAGTTAAGCAGTTTTTCCACTTCTGCTTTGAGGCACAAGGTTTGCAAAAATCTCAGTTTTCAAAGAGTATGAAAAAACACCACCACCACCAAAAAAGAATCTTTTCTTGTTGGGCTGTGAAGCCCAGAGCTACAGGAATCCATCAGGGTGTCACAGCTCCATGACATGAGCCTTTCACTCAGCTGAGACGAACGTAGTGCCCCCACTTGCCTTCACAGCCCTGGGACCTTTCGCCTTCACATCTTTGCTTCTGCTCAGTATTGGAGCAAAGGAGAACACTTCAACTGCTTCATGCCCAGGATGATGCTGCTCCAGGACCAGAAGGTCCCTCTGCACACAGCAGCTGATTCAAGGAGATGACTGAGGCCATTAGCAGTACCAACATGGTCAGGACAGGGCACATGAGAAGCCAAAGTGGGGGTCACATGGGCTTTTCTGCAAGGAGACACACTTTTCTTGTGTTAAAGTCCACATGTCCTAGCTTCAACATCCAAAGTACTGCTCTGATCTGTGGTGAAGTCCAGGACAACCACCATTAGATTGGGACAGAGGGAAAGAGCTCAAAGATCAAGATTTTCCCTTCCATGATAGCAAATCCAGCAGGATCTCCCTGAGACACCCACATGGAGGACAGGACCTGGCTGGAAGTGCTTTACCTTCTCTGAAGGGACCCTGCAGCAGGGAAGCAACACACCACTTCACCAGCACTGGAGAAAGCCTCCAGGTACCTGCACAGCAGGATAATGCCCTTTCCTGCCCTGATTGTTCCAAAACTGCTGAGCATCCTAGGCAGGAAACAGGAGAGGAAAAACAAGCCCCTTCACCCACAGGATCAGCTCATGGGTACGCTGCCCAGGTTTGCTGACAGCCACAATGGGTGGAGGGACACTGGCTGCCTCGTGGAGATGCTAACTCATGGGTTAGTGTGAGGAGGTGGCTCAGCACTTGGCTCACTGCTGCGGTAGAGCTTAGGGCACTGGGAAGAGAAGGGCAAGAAGCCTGATGAGGCTAAAGAAGAACGGAGCTTGGGCTGATGCTGCAATATAAGGAAAACCACTTCATTGGGAATTAAAGCAAATTGATCCTACCCAGAGCTTTTTTTCAGGGCAGGATCCTCATACGAGCACCCCAGCAAGGTCATCATCTCCCTTGAGGAGCACTTCAGCTTTCTACCTCCTCCACTGCATCCTCAAAATGGTCAGTGGGCAACAGGCAGGACGGGAGCTTCGGGAGATGCATCCCCATTGCAGTGGAGGAGATGGATATGCAGCTACACTGTGCATGGTACCTGTTGATCCTCCAATGAAAGTGACCACTCTTCTTATATTACAGAAGAAATCTTGGGGTTTAACTAACCTTAGCTTGCAAGATTTTACTGCCTCTACACCCATAGAGGAGCCAAAGATAGAAACTCAGATCTGAGAGATGGAGCAGCTGGAGGAAGTCTTTGTAGAAATCAGGGCAATGAGGGGAGGAACCTGCAATTTTTAAGATTCAAGCTTCAGCCTTTATGTGTTTACTACTTGAGCGCTCTGCAAAGAGCAGAGAGATGAAGGTGATAAGATGTTCGTTCAAACCACACAAAGGCGGTGTATCAAAAGATCCAGGAGGTGACTGGTTTGACAAACATCCTTTCAGGGTGTTCACAAAGGACAGTGGCACCATCCAACCAGCCCAGCACCACACAACCACCTTATAGGGCCTTGGGTTCCTGTCTCACTGAGCAAGGATGAAAGTTGCTCTTACTCTGAGCACTAAGATCACATCATGCCGTGGCAGGGACCACGAGAGACCTTCACTTCTTGGACTGCAAAACCTCCGCTCCAGGGAGTCTCTACTCCCTGAACCAACAGAGCAATAGGCAGCGGAGCAGCAACATGGAGAATCCCTTCAGAAACCCATCTGGCAAAAACCAGACCAAGCTCTTACCAAACCCTGTCCATGGAAGATGATCTTTTGAGGTCCCTTCCAATCTCTAACATACTGTGATGGAAGAACTGACCATAACCAACCACCGATGTGGGCATGAAGGGCAAACATAAGACAAATCAGCTCTTCCATCTCTGCGAATCCATGTTGGCTTGCAGAGATCATCACCACACCACTGCCATGTAGTGGTACAGGCTTGAGAGCGAGGGATAGGAGTAAAAACTTGTTATTGGGTTGAATTTCTTGAGAAGCCAGTCATAGCAGTGCCTGGGCACCCTGTGGGACTGCCCCATTCTCTCATCTATAAAGCAAGAAGCCAAATTACTTGGAACAGGAGAGATTAGAAACGTGAACCACAGTGAGATCCTCATGATGCTATCTGCTGTTACTCACATAGCAAAATACAACCAGCAGGCAAACAAAACTGGGGATGATGTAATCCCCCTCTGCCATCTTCCCACTTTCCTTAGGGTGTGGAGGCAGGAAAGGAAGAGGACACCAGAAATTAAGCACCTTCTTTCAGGACAGAAAGGAGAATCTGAAACAAAAACCTGTTAATTTAATGCTCTAAGTACCAAGCCCAGGTTGATCACCTCGTACCATCTAGCCTGACAGTGTGCACAGGAGAGGCAGAAGAGAACATGGATGTCTCATTCATGCTCTACTCCAAGGTGGGTCATGAAGACCTCAGTGATGGGTCTCTGAGCAAGACACATCCAAACGGCAGAAGTTAGGTGGTAAACATCACCTAAATGTTGTTGAGAAGGGGCAGCAGGACAGAATCATCTAGCACAGGGCTGGAAGGGCAGGCTAAAGGATGGAAAAATGCAACTGGGGCAAATGATGTGAATATTTGTTGCCATCAGGGTACCAATGAATGATCCAGAACAGAAACTGATCTAAAGAGCAGTGCAGACTCAGTTTGGCTGGGAGGACCCACAATACCAGTATGCAGAATGCACATGCCAAGGAGTCATCCAGAAAGAAAGACACTGGTTGGCACACTTGTGATAAAGACACCCAGACCAAGATGGCTTTTCAGAAGACCAAAGCCCCCAAAAGGTTGATTGGATTGAACAAGCAACACAGGAAAGCGTTTGGCCTCTTGGACACACAGGGCTGACTGGGCAGTTCAGCAATCCCATCACTATGCAAAACTGCAGCCGGGAATGAGCTGTGCTGCTCATCACTGACAAATTCCACATTCAGGGTATCCAGGACTCACCTCTGTTGGAAAGGATGGGTTTGTCTGCTGCAAGATCCCACCAGCAACAGATGCAACCCATTTCTTGAACTGCTCTGGAAGATCAGCCCCCTACTCTGGGAGAACTGGATGGAGCAGCACACACAGAAAGTCTTAATGTAACAGATGAGCAACAAGCCATTATATGAACCAGTAACCTTAAAATTGCTGTGGGATTTGCACATAATGCAGGATTCTCAGTGAAGTGCAGTATTTGGAAGTGAAATGGGAAAGAGGTTTCAGCAGTAATTTCATCTTAAAGTAGAAGATAAAACTCATGGCACAAGAAAACCAGCTTGTGGAATAAAAACAGCATCTGTGCCTACAGGACAACCTCACTAAGGGACATGACTTCAATACAGGAATGGCACAGGTCATCCCTATATGCTAACAGAAATTAAGATCTGATTTAAGCAACCTGCTCTAGTCGAAGGTGGCAGGGGGTTGGA